ACTGGGGTAGTTGACTTTTATGTTCGTTATGATTCATTTTTAATTTACAAAAAGCCTCATTTCCAATCTATTCTTCTATAAATATTTGAAGATTTGAAAGCAAATTGGTAATTTTGTGCATTTACAGTGAAAACATGAAATGAAAGAAAAAGTAAACGTGCTATTTTTTCCTTTTTTTTTTGTTTTTTCTTCTACATAGACAATACTATTAGTATTGTTTTTGGATTAAAATTGAAGTCTTATTTTAGTAATCTGCCAAATAAGAATTTGCATTAGAGATTCAGCACAAGTTAGAGAGCAGAATTTCAATTTTGATGGGAACCAAACATACCGTTACTGATATTCTCTTGTTAGAATTGAAGTATCATTTTAGTCATCTGTCTGGTGAGGATTTGGCGTAAAGGTTTGATAGGTTATAAAGGTGAAGCTTCAATTTTGACAGAAAAATAGCACCAAAAAGGCCTAAAAAACTGCTCCTAAGTTTTTTGTTTTTTTTTTTCTGTTATGAACTGTGCAATGAAATTTTGAGGGATGTTTGAGTTGTGAACAGGCAGCTGGTGCTGCGGGTGGTGCAGTGGCAATTATGGAAGTGATTCCAGCAAAGTATAGGCACATGATTGGGGGTCCTTCTTTGAAAGTGGATCTGCACACAGGTGCTGTTGCTGAAGGAGTGTTGACCTTTTTTATTACCTTTATCGTTCTCTTGATCTTTCTCAAGGGCCCTCGTAGTGATTTGTTGAAGACTTGGTTGCTAGCCACGGCAACTGTAGTTTTGGTCATGGTTGGATCTGCCTACACTGGCCCATCCATGAATCCGGCCAATGTGAGTGATTACCCTTTTTTGCATTTTTCAGTTTTATTTTTTCATGCATGAATTATATGTTTCTTGCATCTGTCTTTTACATTGACACTAGGGTGATTCAAATGATCATTTTGAAAAACTCCTAAAATTTGACCTCAAGATTGTACAGGTAGGAGGACATTATAGTCCATGAGAGTTTAAAAATACTCATTTTATTCCTTTTCTACTTTATTATCCGTGGGTCGCTTTGTACCAAATAAGACAAAAGTAAAATGCTTGAACCTTACAATTTCATGGACTAATCTAGGATTTCTTGTTCTTCTAAGGATTCTGAATTTAATTCTTGCCCCAACCTTTGATTATGAAAATTTTATGCTTTGTTTTTATAGCTTCATTCAGCTATTGAATGTCAATCATATGTATGCAGCAGCTATGCTCCCCCTCTTCTCTGTCCCATTTGTTATTGTGTTTTTTAACTGTCAAATCCTGTTGTAACCTCTGCATAGTCCTACAATTTCAGTGTTCTATAAATAGAAACAAAGTACTGACAGTAAAAGACAATGCCGCAGTCATTATATGCCAAATATCAAGTTCTATTATGAGCCAAACTGCTAAAGAACTGTAATTGTAGTATCCAATTGTGCACTATATCACCGCTATAACAGCGTTGAAGTTGCAGCTTAGGATTTGTAGCTGTTATTTTGGCCACTATTGCCTCAGAGATGAAAACCCCTTAATTGCCCCTTAAACGATATCTTTTGGTTCAGATTAAGGGGGGCACACTTAGGATTTGCCCTCCTATTATTTCATTAGAACACAAACTCTATTTCCCCTCTTCCGCTCATTTGAAGACTAAATCACACACTACTCTAATTGTTCTCTTCTATCTTCGATACAAACCATACAAAGCTATCTGCTGTATTTTTGGCCAATCCAAATTTATGGAACTCTGGCACGTTCTGTTGTCTCTACTCTACTCTGTTCACATCCTTTGGTCTCTACTCTCAGCTGTGTTTATGTCAAAGAGGGGTCTATGTTCTGTTTTATATTATTATTATTATGTGTTCATGTTTTATTTTCTTCTTCTTTTTTCACTGTTTTAAAATGATGACTTTTAATTATTAGCTACGATTATGTCTTTAGTTTTTTTTTTTTTTTTTTTTTATTTTGGGCATTTATATATATGTGTAGAAATGTAATTAAAAATTATCTAATCTATATATTCCATTATAGCAGTCATCCTGATATCTGCTATCCTGCTATAGCAGTTTTGGATTTTTTACTGCTTCAATGGCTATTCAGGATTGATATCTATTATTTGCAATAATGGGAAAATAAAAGTGATTAGTACATTATGTTATTTTTCCATATAAAGACTGCAATGGGTGTCAAAGACTCAGAGTGCATTCATTTAAAACAAAATTATGAAATCATGAAAATTGACAATTTCTATGGGAAAGGTGCTTCAAAGCAGTTATACAGAAAGCTATCATATTATAGCTGTGATTCTATGGAATACCTATTTTATCAGTTTAACTCAATATCGCTTTGACTAAATCAAAATGATACTGCCTATCTTAAATATCTATCAGTTTAAGACAATGAAATTCAGGAGCATTATGCAGACATTCAGATAAGGTAGAGTTGGCAGACAATTTGTTAGTGAATTGAAGCATCCTGGAGATCTTATTCTCCAGTACAGTTCAAATTATCTTCTTTTCAAAGGATTCCAGCATTCTTCCTTTCTTCCTTTGAATTATGATAGGGCCTTGGGTATTATGGGGTGCAAGTCCAACATTGGGTAGTATGTGATAGGCTCTTATCACATGAATCTTTTTATGTCCAAATATAAGGAACACAAATGCCACTCTTCTCCAGGGCCCTCCAAATTACTTCTCTTTCATCCATGTCACAGGCCATGTGTAGATATCTTTTTGGTTTCTGGCACCTCTTCATCAAACCTTACAAAAGGTATACTACTTCCATATTTTACTTACCAAGAGCATATTGGTTCGCTGAAATGTGATTCTCTTATCTTGATCTCCAATTTATTACTCTCTATTAGTTTCATAGTATGGCTCCTAATCTTAATCCCTATGTAGGTAAGTACAATTTTGTATATTCCCTTCTCCATTAGTTTCTTAGTATGTCTCCTAATCCTAATCTTAATCCTAATTTTGTACCTTTATTCCTAACGCAATTTCTCCTCCATTATAGTTTAACACTAACGTGACTTTTTCATCCATTATAGTTTGCCTCATAACAAAACTATTTTGAAGTGAAAGAGGATGTGACCATTGTGTTGAAATCTGCCAGCCATTTTATTCTAAAAGAATATACAAATGGATTCGCTCCTGTTGATAAAACTACCAAGATTAAGTATCAACATCCTTTTCTTTCCCTGAGTGTGTGCCCAGTGGTGGCAATATTAGATGCTTCTTGCTGAATTATTCCATTCATTTTATAGCTGTTTATTGGTTGATCAGCATCAACAGATTCCTTGCAATATCTGCATTTAATACTGGATCGCATACCTTCTTGTCTCAACAAAAGGATTAGATGTTGATCTATGTTAAATAAAATAGTCATCTAGCTATGCAAATATTTAGCCAAATTAGATTATGGTATTTTCAATGACAACTTGGAGAGTACATTTGCTTTTTCTAACTTTTGAGTTAAGGAACTGGATGTACTCTTGAGTGAACTAGAATCTTGATTATGTACCCACCTTAGTAGATATTCATCCGGTCATAACTGGAACTTAAAAGAAATGTTATAACCATGCACTGTTTAACAGTCCTTTTCAACATTCTCTCTATTTTTGGTTAAGTCTTATGTTGACCGCACATACATAAGATTGACCTACTCTCTTTATTGGTGGTGCCAGCATGAAATTTCACCCAATTGAGTGTTGAAAAGAATGTCAAAGTTAGGTATGGTTCATATGAATCTGCTTAGACGATGTCATACCATCTTTCATATTGTTTCTATTACGAATGTAAATGGAGAAGCAAAGGCTTATCTTGAAATAGTCAAGGTGAACTTTTTCACAATTTGAGCCCCCAAATAGTCATCTTAAAATCAGAGTTTGGTGTTACTCATTTATTTCTTTGGTGTTTTTACTATTTATTGTTTTGAAGCTTCTAGAGTTTTTATATATCTTCTTACATGCATTTATGTTTTGTTGAAGCTTCTGGTGTGAAATTTCATATAGATTAGGGTCAGACATAGAGATGTCAATGAGAAACTGTGGTCGGTTATTGTCTGTGCAGGCTTTTGGTTGGGCATACTTAAACAACAGGCACAACACATGGGACCAATTCTATGTATACTGGATTTGCCCCTTTGCTGGAGCAATATTGGCTGCATGGGTGTTCCGTGCAATCTTTCCCCCACCACCACCAGAAGTAAAACAGAAGAAAGCATGAGGAGGGATTTGGTTATTTCATATCAATTGTTAAGTGTTAAGAATCCTTCTAATCTATGTAATTTCTTCTTAGTTATCTTCTATGTTTTTGAACTCCATGTTTCAGAAGATATTTCATTAAGCTCAAAATCATGTTCGAGTTAAATTACTGCATTTGATTTGATTTAGATTTTAGTATCAGCAAGGATTTATATTTGTTTGTTTCTTTTCATAGTTGTGGGGAGAGATTAAGTCCAACAAGACAAAGAACGTGTTTCTTTTTGGCCCTTAACTGTTATTTTTTCATGTTTATTCAAGAAGGTAATAATTATAACTTGCACGTAGCATAATTGATGTGTTTTTTTTTTACTTTATTATGGGTTTTCAAACATGCACAAGAACATGGTTGTCTTGGAGTGTGTTCTTTTAAGATGTGACCTCTATATAAGAAAACGTTTCTACAGTTTAATCCTCTCATTTAAAAAGAAATAATAAATTCACTGTTACATTCACTGTTATAGGTGATTATTAATCAAAAAGAAATAATAAATTAGTTATTAGAATATAAGAGTTAGTTAAGAAATAAGAGTTATAAATATGATCTAATGTAATCTGAAAGGTATTATCATAAATATATAATTTTATTATTGTGTGTTCTTTTCTATCTCGTGTGAGATTGAGAGAGTGAGTAGTGTTAGAGGATAATTTCAATATATTTTTAATAATTGATATAGGTATTGTCGACAACGATGGAAGATTCAATAACGAATAAAGATCTTGAAAATAGAATTGATGGTTAGAGAGATTAATGACATCCTCACAAGAAGAAAATTTGAGGATCACTGTGATAACAAGAAAGCATTTGAGGATCACTGTGATAACAAGAAAGCATTCGAGGATCACTGTGATAACAAGAAAGCATTCGAGGAATCGCGGATAAGTCACAAAGCGATATTGACTCGATAAAGATGATGATGGCACAGGTCTTGGCCAAATTAAACATTAACGACGAACAATTCAAATATAATACAGAACATGAAGAAGAAGTCGAGTCAGATCTTAACTCAAGCAAGATTCTTGAACAAACTTAGATGGCGTTCCCTTCATTCGATGACACTAACTTCAGGGAATAGAGAGTGAAAACTGAACAATTCTTTAAATTAGAACATACACCCATTAATCAACGAGGCAAATTACTTTTACTATCGATGGATGGCAAAGCATTTGCGTGGCAGAGACATTACATGCAAAACCAAGAATTCCAGAACAAATCTTGGAAAATTATTCTTCAAGATGTAGGTAACCGTTTCGATCATGGTGCTTATGATGACCCAATTGCGGAATTATCTCGTTTGAAACAATCATTGCATGAATACTTAGAAAAATTTGATAACCTGCTTGCTTGAGTTGCACTATCCAATGATATGGTCATTAACTTCTTTCTTGCGGGATTGAAAGTTTAGTTGGAGAAATCTGTGCGAATTCACAACCCCAAATCAGTGCAAGAAGATGTTCGATTAGCAAGATTACAAGATGACGTCATTAAAGAATTAGAGAAGAAGATATAAATAGGTAAATCAAATGCTTTTGATTATCCAACTAGATTCACATGTTCTGGACCACATCCACCCTCCAACTTCATAAACCACTCAATTACTAGCTTATAAACTCAACCACAAAATTCGTTTGTCAACACGTCGATTATTGCTTCATAGACTAATACCAATTCAGTACCTTCTAGGAAAGAAATCAGCGAGTGTATTTCAAAAGGATTATCTAGATTTTGCGGTGATAAATGGGAGAAGAATCATAGATTAAAATGTAAGGTTTGAGGGAAAGCTAAATGCTATCTTTTGTGCAAGAAAATTTAGATGCAGAGGAAATTGAAGATAGTGACAATGATGCAAATGAGTCTCTACTAGAAAAAAGTTTAGAATTGTTAAATAATGATATGGTACAAATTTCTTTGCATGCATTGAGAGGTATAGCTGGAGGTAACACTTTACAATTATAAGGGATTATAAAAAGAAAAGATGTTCCTTTTCTTATGGACACAAGCAGTACCCATAATTTCATAAGTTCAAAATGGATTAAGTTGTTTGGTTCGAAATGGATTAAGCTGCTTGGGCTGAAAATACAACCTATAGAAGAATAAAAGAATAGTTTTATTGGAAGGGTTTGCAAAAGGACGTCAAGACTTGGATTAGGGAATGTCAAGTATGTTAGAAATTTAAGAGTTTTCCACAACTTCCATCAGGATTGCTGCAACCTTTACCAATACTTGAAAAAACATGGTACTCTGTATCTATGGATTTTATTGTGGGTCTTCCAAAATCTAATAATATGTCCGTCATACTGGTAGTGGTTGACAAATACACAAAATATGCACAATTTATTCCATTAAAGCATCCATTTGGGGCTGCAAAGGTTGCAGAACTGTTCATGAATACAATTGTCAAATTTCATGGTTGGCCAAGAGAAATAATTTCTGATAGGGTACTTCTAGACAAAATTAATAAAAGCTCATGGTGTCAAGTTGCTTCGATCTACTGCATCCCATTCACAGACAGATGGCCAATCGGAGGCTCTGAATAAGACACTAGAAGGATATTTGCGATGCATCACGGGTGAGACTCCAAAGAAATGGTCAACATACTTATTATTAGCTGAATTATGGTACAATACAAATTTTCATGCAACAATCCAAATGACCCCTTTCGAAGCTTTATATGGTTACAAGTCTTCCATTCCATGCCCAATTCAGCTGGGGGACTCTGTAGTGGAAGCGGTAGATTACACTTTAAAAATAAGAGAACACATATCAATGTTACTTCATTCCAACCTCACTAAAGCACAAGAATGAATGAAATGGTATGCAAATTTGAAAAGAGAAGACAAAAAATTTGTTGAAGGAGACCTTGTTTACTTAAATATTTAACCATACAAACAACATTCTTTAGCAAATTCAGCATTTCACAAGTTAGCTGCGAAATATTATGGCACATTCAAGGTGTTGAAAAGGATTGACAAAGTGGCACATCGACTAGAATTACCTGCTGGTACCAAAATACATGATGTTTTCCACATTTCATTATTTAAGAAGCACCATGGTGAACATCCAGTATACCAACAACGACCATTATTCATAGATGATGGAGAAATTTTTATGCAGCCTCTGGCTATTCTTGTGAGAAGAATAAAGAAAAGACACAATAAGACTGTCACTGAAGTTTTGATCCAATGGGAGCATACTAACCCTGAAAACGCTACATGGCGTGAGTTACATGACATGGAGAACAAGTATCCTAGCTTTGATTGGGGACAGACTTAGTAGACCTTGCGGACAAGGTCATTTTTCATGGACGGGAAAGTTGTTATAGGTGATTATTAAATAAAGAGAAATAATAAATTAGTTATTAAAATATAAGAGTTAGTTAAGAAATAAGAGTTATAAATAAGACTTAATATAATGCGAAAAGTATTATCATGGATATATAATTTTATTATTATGTGTCCTCCTCTATTCTCGTGTGAGATTAAGAGAGTGAGTAGTATTAGAGAATAATTTCAATATACCTTTAACATTCACCCACACATAGGAGAAAACTACTATACCAGTGCAATAATGATTAATTATTTCCTGAAATCAAAATATCACGAAATCCGTAATGTTTTAGCTTTTGATCATCTCCTTTCATGTCTCTATTTTTCTGGAACCGATATTCAAACATTTTATTACGTGCTAGGTTGGTCCTAAGAAGTATATAAACCTTCTACAATAGAATTAACCACAAGGAGCAAAGAGTACATAGGACTTGTTAGATGAAAAATGGTTAAAACAACACAAAGAAACATGTATTTAAGACATTAAATACATTAAAAGAAGTATCTTTTGAACAATTAACATTAAATAATACATCGTCCGAGTGTTAGGTTCGATGATACATCCTCTGTACTTACTGATATAACGTTTGTCTAACTCTGGATCAAACGAAAATCATTTATATAGAGACCAAACATAGTCTGAGCTGAATTTAGTTTATTTTTTACTATGAAAATGTGATTCATAGTATTCTATGTTGTATTCTCAATATTCATGAAGAATGAATCTTTTTGCAAAAGCTAAGACAAAATTTTAGATAAAATATCATTAAAACGCACGATCTTAAGAGAAAAACACGAAGAAAAATAAATATTTTCTGCTATATGTCAATACAATAAGAGATAGTCTATCATTAAAGTAATATAAATAAATTATATTATCCTATAAAGAAAAATTGTCTATTTTTTTTTCTTTGAGTGATTTATTAAAAACTTAAATCTAATCTTTTATATATATATATATATATATATATATATATATATATATTATTTACTGTATATATTTAAGTAAAGCTAAATAAAATATAAATTCATTTAAGCTTGGGATTATTGAGAGAACTTTTAACGTTTTTTTTTTTTTATATTTCTAATTGAATGTGAAACCTTTAACGATTTAGAATAAGTGATATTCAAAGAATTAGTGAATTTGTCTTCATTATATAATATTGAAATTGTTATGTATATAATATGATATAATAAAATATGTATGTGGTAATGGATTAAAATTTCTTTAAATAAAATGAAAGTCAGAGTTATTTTTTTATCATTTATTTATTTTTTTACATAAATTGAAATAATTATGGATAAAAAAATTTCAAATACAAACATGCTAATAATCAATTTAAATAGGTCGGAGCATTAAAAATATTACGAAATTCGTGTCTTAGTCTATAATTAATGAGTATTTTCATAAATGTCTAAACAACATGTTGCAACTTTTTGTTTGTAAAAAAAACAATTGTGCTGTAAATTTGTTTAATTATTTCAAAATATATTGTTTTTTGGCATAAATTTTTCGAAGTACGTTTTGTAGTGTATAATAATATTTTGGTAATTAGTTAAAGTATTAAATTTAAATGTTTTAGTTAGTTTAACATATACACTCCTACATAACCAATAGAAACCCAATTTCCTAACATAGATATTAAATGCATGAAAATATGGGAATAATTAAACTTTTTGGCCGAATTATTTGCTGATAACAAGTTTTTTCGGCCCATTTTTTTTGCTTGTGACGTTAGTTGTAGACTCAGATCTGAATCGGAATTTGAGTTTAGTAAGGTCAGTTGCAGTTAGGTAAAGTTTTTTCTTTGACAATAAGTTAGGTGAAGTTTTAAATTAAAACTTGATTTATACTCATAATTCATACACTATTAATTTTATATTCAGACATTCATGTGTATACGACTTTTTATTTTTCTATTAATATTTTCATGTAAACGTAAAATTCTACATACGCTTTTGCCCCTAGTTTGGTATACATACACCAGTATCCCGTAGAATAAAAAAGCAAGAACACTCCCTAAAATTTGTTAATTAATCCCTCATATTTTTTATACAAAATATGTGCATGCATGTTACTATATTTAGAGGAATTACGATTGTCGTAGTTAATTCAAAAAGTAAAGTGAAAAGTTCATTGTTTCTCTCAAGCTTTTAACAGTTGAATAAAAATAAATACTTGATGCGAATACACTCGCCACAGAGGCAACGCGGAAAGATTCAGAGACAGAACGACTCGGTTTTTCTCAGACCGAGTCCGACTCGGAGGGCGAGCAAGGCCAACTCAGTACCCTTTTTCATCCTTTGCAACATACAGTTACACATTTAACCATTTTTCCCGCACAAACAACACAGACACTGACACCCCCTCTTCTCTCACTACACGCGCGAGATAGTTAGAGAGGGAAAGAGAGAGAGAGAAAGACTTCAGTGTTGAGTTGCAGAGACGCAACGTGCATTTCGCATTGGCACAATACGACGGACGCCATCACGCCGTTTTCGTGTTGCTTTCGTTTCCGGATCCGTAACCGACGTCGCTTTCCTCTTTTCCAATCAGTTGGTTGAGAATCCCAAGACACAGAGCTGGAGCCGCTACAAGATCCCAAGCAATTGAAGGCTCCGCCCGCCTCCGCCTCCTCCAACGGTCAGATCCGGTACCGGTCGCCGTCCTCAGCCGAGCTCTTTGACGGCCAGACCAGCAGTAACTCCCCGCCGTCGCACGCTGCTGATCAGCACTCCTCGGAGTTCGAATCCAGCAAAATGCTGAAGCGCATCGGCCGCCAGGAGTCACTCGCTGACAAGATCTACCGGTTCCGAGGGACGGTGCTCGTCGTCTCGATCCCTCTCCTTCTCATTGTGTTCGTCCTCTACGTCATGCCGTCCAGCTCCTCCAATGAGTCCGCCGGAGACTACGCCCTCGTCAACCGCAAAATATCCCCCGACAAAAAATCCGGAGGATCCTACGCCGTCATCTTCGACGCGGGCAGCTCCGGCAGCCGCGTCCATGTTTTCCATTTCGATCAAAACCTAGATCTCGTTCACATTGGCAAAGATCTTGAGCTTTTCGTCCAGGTCAAATCAAATCAAATTATTATTATTACTATTTAAACGGTTCGGGCCTGCAATTTTTACCTCAATGTTGAAGTTTTTGGTTTCACGCTACTTCAATTGTGGTCGCATTTGTTCTCAATTTACCGTACTATCAAAGATTGCGATAAAATCCTGAATATTGTTGTTACTTTATTATGATTTGCTTGTGTTTTTGGTCTTACGGTGTTGGTTTGTATTTTGCAGCTTAAACCGGGTTTGAGTGCGTACGCTCAGGATCCGCAAAAGGCAGCGGAATCTTTGGTTCCGCTTTTGGATAAAGCGGAGGGTGTTGTTCCTCGTGAATTGCGATCCAAGACACCAGTTCGAGTTGGGGTGGGTGTTTCTTCTCTTTTGAAATTTATATTTACTGACCTTACGTTTAGATAGAAGTTGGACCGTTCGCGTAGAAATTCTAATTGATATTCCTGAATTCCAATGCACAAAATGAAAGGAAGAGGTTATTGTTTTAGGAGTACTCTTTTGTTCTTCCAATCCAACTGACATCCAAACAAACATTCACTAATTCAGTGTGTGTGATTGTCTGTTAATTGACGTTTGGGTCTAATTGCATTGAGTTTGTGTGCTATTGCAGGCAACTGCGGGTTTGAGGGCTTTGGAAGGAGATGCATCAGATAGGATATTGCAAGCGGTGACTACTGTGTTTTTCTCAATTTCAATGGTTTTAACCGCTATCTCTAATTGGTTATGTTTTAACTTTTTCTTACTTTGGATTTCATCAATTTAAGGTAAGGAATTTGCTTACGGACAAGAGTAGCCTGAAATCTGAGACTGATGCAGTTACAGTGCTGGATGGAACACAAGAAGGTGCTTATCAATGGGTATGATTTATGAACTTAATGTTGTTGGTAACAGGCTACGGCTTTAAATTTTTTTAGGCTCGCCTATAGGCTTTATTCCATTTACTATTTGTGTCAAGTCTAGAATGCATCCTGACTACGGTAGAATTAGAAGTTTTTTCTGATATAGATCGTATTGCTAAAAATGTGGAAAGTTCACGGGGGGACTATAAGAGAATTGACTAACTCTCACTATAACATTGATCAGATTCTTATTTAATAGATTACATGATGCTTTATGGTGATTGTGATGTATGAATAAGGAGTGATGAGGTTTTAGTTTCTGACTCTTTTATTTATTTTGAGGGGGATGGAGGTGAGTTTGAATGACTAATTGTGAATTAACTCTCGGCTATTGGAGTTTCATGTTGAAGATATTTTTGAGACAAGTTAGCTCAATAGCATACCTCCATGTTCTTATTCATTACTTTTTATTCTTTTCTTCTTACATTAAGTTTGGCATATACTGTGTTCATAGTTGAGTCCTATCACACAAGAGGAGCAGTTCGAGCTTCATATATACTAGCATAATGACCAACATGCTAACACAATTTTCTGATCTTTTCATTTATACATTACAGAAGTGGAAAATACTATTTTTTAGTCCTTTACATTGTTTGGATTTGGATTTTGATTCCTGAACTTTTGCTAGGGCTTGTTATTGTATTTTTCTCAAAAGTTGCATTACATTACGAAACTATAAATTGATATGACTAGTTCACTGAGTTGCTGAACAATGTATCAAGAAGTCTAAAACAAAGGAGGATAGTGGGTTCTCTTAAATCCAAAGAGAAAAAGTTAATGCATTTGCTATAATCAGTTCCATTTTCTGAATGATGAATTCAACTCCAAATACATAATTCATCAGTAACATAGGTCATTATTGATTTTTTGAATGATGGATTACACACTTGAGAAAAAATATATGAGAAAAGGTACTTGAGAGAAAGAGAGAGAGATAGATGTGTATCTTGCAACAGAAGTATAAAGAGAGAAAAAAAGAAACAAAATAAAGTTCACCCCTAGGACTCTAGATGACATATAGGCACGACAGAAAACAACTTGTACAAAGTTGCTCATAAGATAATATAAACTATTTTAACACCCCCCAAACATGGAACATATAAATTAAATCCGAGGTTCTTTTAAAGATTTCATCAAAATATTTGTAAATTGATCATTGGAGCTAACAACTTAAGTACAAATTTCCTTGAGCAACAACTTTTCTCAAACAAAATGACAATCAATTTCTATGTATTTGGTTCTCTCATGAAACATAGTATTGAAAACAATATGAAGAGCTACTTGATTATCATAGTACATTCTCATTTGTTTATTTCACAAAATTTCAATTCTTAAGAGAAGTTGTTTCATCCACACAAGGTCAAACACAAGTGAGTGATGCCATTGTCTTATATTCAACTTGAACACTTGATTCTGCAACTACATTTTGTTTATTGCTTTTCTAATAAATAATATTCCCTTCAATGAAAATACTATATCCAATTGTGGAATGTATTCCTATGAGAGATCTTCTAGTCAACATCTCAATACCCAAAAATTTGGGTGCTTCCCTTATCTTCATATAATAGACCTTGTCTTAGAGCCTTTTTAAGATATATGAGGATGCAAATGACAACATTCCAAGAATCAATATGAGGAGTCTACATAAATTGACTAACCACCCTAACTGTAAGAGCAAGTCCGGTTGATAATAGTGAGATAAATAACTTTTCCAACAAGTATTCTATATCTTCCTTGGTTTGAGAAAGGTTTATTCTGTTCTAACGTTAGTTTATGATTTAGATCAATAGGACTTTCCATGGGTCTCCAATCAGTCATGCTTGTTTATTTTAAGATATCTAAAACATATTTTTTTTGAGAAATTATAATAACTTCCTTTGCTCAAGCCACTTCAATGTCAAAAAGTATTTGGGACGTCTAAGATCTTTGGTTTGAAAGTGCATTAGCTTTTAACCAACTTCGTAATTTCTTTTTGTGAACCAACTTCGTAATTTCTTTTTGTGAATCAACTTCCCATAATATTAGGTTCTACAAATTGCCACATACAAAGTTGAAAATCAAACTTCTTCCATGATTTAATACATGTTGATGATATATCACTACTATCCTTTTCCAAGTGATCATGGAAACCTTAGCAAGAAAATCAAAGCTAAGATCGATCATTTTTGGCATTAAGCTTTTTTGAATTAATTGTGGGTGACCCAGAAAAAGAGTGGGCAGGTCTGGAAGACCTTTTTGGAGAAAGGGTGAAAATGGAAACCCACTTAGTGTTCAAGAGAGCTTGCACTTCGACCAATATTGGAAGGGCATGAAGAAAATTGAAACAGGGAATTGAGAGGGCGGTGAAACCTACAGAGGTGGCACATCGCTTCAGTGTGTGGATGTCATGTGCTTCGTGAGCCGGGCAAAGAAGCAGCACTTGGCGTGGAATCTGCCTCCATGACCAGTTAGGTTCTACGATGCTTGAAAAGACCCTCAAGAACAGGTGCTTGTCGGAGAATAATAGGTAGAGCGGGATTGACTCGCTTTGCCATATATAGAGAGAGATCTCACCTAGATCCCTCTTCAAATACACCCATATATATATATATATATATATATATATATATATATATATATATATTACATAGCATATCTATATGAGGAAATTATAGTGGGATATATATTACATAACATATTTTGGTCTGTGGCAGAAAGAAAGCCACCAATCTTTGTGAGTGTGTGTGTATATATATATATATATATAAAAGGGAACCACTTATTCTAAGAGTTAGAGAATGACTCTTCATCCTTATAATTCATTTTCTTGTAATCTAATGGTAAGTTATTATTTTAGGTAATTGGATTATAAAAAGTGAATGATGCTGAAGAAGAATAAGTCTCTAACTCTTATACTTGGAACTAGTAGATCCCTCCCCTCTCTCTTTATATATATAGAGAGAAGTGTATCTTGCAACAAAAGTACAAAAGAGACAAAAAGAAACAAAATAAAGTTCACCCCTAGGATCCTAGATGTTAAGTAGGTAAACAAAAAATAGCTTTTACAACGTTGTTCAGGAGATAATATAAACTATTCAAACATGTACAAAGTATTTTACCCTTTTCCCAAATGGATAATGTGATTTACTTGCTGATACAGCCTGTTTGGTGACAGAAGGTAGATGTACAACGGATACTAGTTCAGTTGTTATGATTAGTATTATTTTGTTTGTTTGTACTGTACGGGTATCCTCTGGCCAGCTTAATAGTGCAATTTTTGTTTGAAGGAAGCTGTTAATAGACGTCATGTTCTTGTCAAATAAATGTCATATCAGCTACTAGAGTCATCAAAAGTAATAAACAAACAGTGTTAGACCCCTGATTAGAGATTCTTGCATAAGGAAGACTCATGGGAAGCACAGGCCTAATAAAGATGTGTGCCAGGAGCAGAAACTTAATAGGACTCACTATATCAACAACTGTGCTTGATCAGTTGATTGTGATGAGAAATGTATAAACAGAAATATAAAATAGAAGTAGAATGGGAGAGAGGGCATTCAGTTATTTTCTGCTGGTGGGTTGTTAGGGAGATGATCATTGTTTAAAATCTTGGATTGTGATGATAGCAGCTGATCCCAAAAATGCTATTGCTGATACTGGGATAGCGGGAGGATATACTATATATGTATAGATTCTAAAAATTGTTAAAAGTTACTCAAGATTAATGACATTCTTTATTAACAAAAGTCTCCGCAAAAAAACACTAATATCTCTGTTCAAAGGGCTCTCTTGGATTCACTCAGTACCTCCTCAGCAGCTATTCTGCCTACTGTTTGGTCTGCTACATTTCTGTAAACTGTTCTGCTATGGTAGCTCCCGTAGTGGGCAGGGACCATCTTAGCGGTGTCTATTGTGCACTATTTAAAATCCTGGAGATAGGTTCTTGAACATTCCTATAAGATGTAGATTCAGGTCTCTCAGTAATTCTCCTCTTCTACTTCACACGGACACATTATTTCTTGAAGGATTCATCGATAAAGTCCATTATTCTGGAACTGTTCTTGATTAGATCTAATGCCCTGCAACTAAAATGCTTGTTTAGTCATTACTGCATTTGACAGTCTTGCCTACAGTTGCTTTCCATATTTTCACAATAGAGCTGCAAATTTTATGTTGGGCTTGTATTTCTGGAACTGTATATTTCATCAAATGGGTTGACCAATTGTCTTGAAAGCTGTAGTTTTACGTCAAAGATTCAATTGTGGGCTACAATTGCTTTTGTTATTTATTGACGTGGGGAAATTAGTGGGAAATATGGGTGTGGAAGATTACTCGATTTACAATTTTAATGGCAATTTAGTACAGTTTTAATTTTATAACCTTGCCGTGGACATTATCTTGAGAATATGCTCTTCGTTAATTGGTTGAAGAAACAAACATGTAGCCTGTTGATTTATATGTGCTGCAAACTCTCCTGGACATCTTCTTGAAAATAAAATTATATTTAAAAAAAAATCAGTTACCAGTTTGTTGTATAAGTAGATAAAGTTTGCTTCTTCGCTTCTCCCAGAGAAAGTTAGGTCATTCTGACTTTTCTGACAAATGTAAAACAATTGAGTAATTGTTACACTTTATAATTTTTGGTGGAATTAACTCTAGTTTCCTTACCATACCAAGATGATTTTTCTTATAACATAATTGAATTTTGGAGTTCAATTTAAAGAGGGTACCAGCAATGCTTAGTATCATTAATCTATAATTTAGTTAGACTAAAATTTAACGAATGGGTATCTTTAGAACACTAGGAATCTAGAGATCTGATAAGTGCTGAATATATGATTAGATAGCACGTAAGTCGTATACTGTGCTAGGAAACATTTTGTTTACGGAAGTGTATTAATCAAACATCAATAAGGACTACTAGCTGCAACTCGTAAATGAATTATGAACTTTGTGTTTCTCTTCTCTGAAATTGTTACCTTGTGAATTGTTTTAGGTCACGATCAACTATCTATTGGGAAATTTGGGAAAAGATTATTCTAAGACTGTTGGGGTAGTTGATCTTGGAGGTGGATCTGTTCAAATGGCTTATGCCATCTCAGAGACAGATGCCGCCATGGCTCCAAAATTAGCAGATGGAGGGGATCCATATGTCAAGGAGATGTTCCTGAGGGGAAGGAAATACTACCTCTATGTTCACAGGTTTTCTACTTACTGATTTGCCATCTTTTCCAGCCTCTAGGAGGATTAACCCACGGACCTGTGTGCTTTCTCTTCGTAGTCTTTTGCAACTCCAATTCCATGTTCATTGATATTGTGTATTCTGCAAATACTATTTTCCTTCTCTGATAGATTTTTACATATTTATTTCAGTTACCTGCACTATGGTTTACTAGCTGCTCGTGCAGAGATTTTAAAGGTTTCTGATGATGCTGAAAACCCTTGTATCTTGTCTGGCTATGATGGTAAATATACTCCTTTCTTTTTTCTTGATGTTTAGTTACATTTCATCTCTTTTTAATCTTCCATCGGTCATGAAGGGAAAAGAGCTTTGAATTATTTTTGTATTATTTTTCTTCTTGCCTTATAATTCTGATTTGAAGCTGTTTTCTTGAAATAAATTTTATAGGATCCTACGTATATGGAGGAAAGTCGTTTAAGGCTTCATCTTCCTCATCAGGAGCAAGCATAAGTGAATGCAAAAGTGTTGCTCTTAAGGCTCTTAAAAATGAGTCATCATGTACTCATATGAAGTGTACTTTTGGTGGGATATGGAATGGTGGAGGAGGTGATGGACAGAAGAATCTTTTTGTTGCATCTTTTTTCTTTGACCGGGCTGCTGAGGTATTTATTATTTTATTTTATTCAACCTTGGTAGGGTGTTCATATCCATTGCTTCAAATGATACTGCATTGCAATTCTAATCACTTGTTATTTATTCATAGGCTGGTTTTGCTGATCCAAACTTGCCAGTTGCGATAGTTCGTCCTGCAGATTTTGAGGATGCTGCTAAGCAGGCCTGTCAAACAAAACTTGAGGATGCCAAATCGACTTATCCACATGTTGATGAGGGGAACCTTCCCTATCTTTGCATGGATCTGATTTACCAGTATACACTGCTTGTTGATGGGTTTGGTAAGTTTTATTCAAATGCAGAATACCTATAATGACGTTTCTCTAAAGTCTTAGTTATATTGTTATCTTCCTGCCCTCATTACTTCAGTTTGTTGGCAGGCATATATCCATGGCAAGAAATTACATTGGTGAAGAAAGTTAAATACGATGATGCCCTCGTTGAGGCAGCATGGCCCCTAGGCAGCGCCATTGAAGCTGTATCATCTACGTAATGTCACTGGCATCATCATTCAGATTACTCATCAGACATCTAGGGGAACATGAGTTTCATCACTGGGATTTTGTGGTGAAATACTGTCATTCATGATGATCAGAGATTAACTTTCAAGCTGAATTGAGATTGGATATGGATCTGTGATTCAGAAATAATGGGAGATTATAGCTTCATTATTTTTCATATGTAATTAATTGCCAACATATCTGATTTAAGATTTTGGAAAGATTCATTCGATTCATTAAGTGCATCTAAATATGTTGTCTTTAGAGACGAACAAAATGGTGATATAACACCATTTCATTTTTGTTTCTATAAATGGTTTCATTCATGATCATATAGTTTAATCCTTTATTTTTTTTCACGTCTTGTTGAGGACCCAGACATGGCATGTCACGTGCAGAAGTGTGGGAAATTAACACTACAATGATATACCCGTTAAACTAATCCTATGTTGACCATGAACAAATCGTACATGTGTGAACGGCGTAACGTTTAGTATTTCTTTATTTCATCTAAGTCGATCATTCGTGTCATTTTATTTCAACTCAGTTTGACAGGTTTGGTAAAATCCTCACTTGCTTCCATGAATTCTTTGTTAACGAGGATAGGAAATAGAGGATGTTTATTCTCTTATCACTTTTGTTTGAACAAATTTGGGAGGGGATGCTTATTCTTTTTATCTCATTTTTGTCAATAATTTCAGAAGAAAAATAGAGAAAGATCCTTAGATAATTGTGTTGAGAAGCAAAGAAAGGATCAGAAAGACTAAAGACTAATGACTTTGTGTTGTCATTTAAAGAGAAATAACGTGATTATAATTTATTTATGATCCTAATAATCGAACATGAGTCTCCAATAATCGTATTTTTTATTTTTATAATAATAATAATAATAATAATAATAAATAATTAAAACATAATTAATAATAAAAATTTATTAAAAAAAAGATAAATATATTATATATTTTTTTATCTCAATCATCTTATTTTTCACTTTCAATGCTTGATATAAGAATTTATTGATTAATTTATGATTTAAAAAACATATAAATACAAGTTATTATTACTATGTAAGAAAGAACATTTGTTCTTTATTCTTTTAAAGATACATGAATTTTTTTATTCTCAACTTTGCAAAATTTAAAACTTTAACATAGTTTATATTTGGTGTTAAAACAAAAATAGACGAGATAAGGGGTGAAAATGGGTGAATATCCATATGAACAGATTGATAAAAAAATTATTTTAATTTATTAAAAAATTATTTAAAATTTTTTACTATTGTCTAATTGAAATAGATAAAATAAGGATATTTTGATCTAAGTTAAATCAAATATCTCTTAATAAAAAAATTTAATAGAATTTCACTATAAAAATGTCTTGATCAAACCCATTGAAAGATTAATGATGTAGGAATATTCAACCCTAAAAATATCATTACAAAAGTAGAATTGAAGATTTTCCACTTTGAATTGAGAAAGAAAAAATTATATAATCAAGATTGAGCAAAAAAATGTTTATCCATTGAATGAAAAAATGTTTTAGTTGAGCAAAAAGTGTCAACTAATAACTCACTAACAATGATTTAGTTGATGTTGAACCAAGTATGTAATTAATCATGGCCGATGTGTCAATCATGACCGATGACTAGTCAAGACTGAGTCCATGATGTTATAGTTAATGATGTTTTTTTGTTGTTGTTGAGATCTAATATACTCTATATCAACCGATCATATCTCTATTATTTTATAAATTAATGATGTCTTAACAAAATTTGAGTTGACAATGTTAAAGATTTAACAAAATTATTAATTATGAATAAATTTATTGGACTAGTTTTGGGTTAAATTTTAAAAAGTAATATATAAATTATTTGGCTATTTACAAATATTAATTCAATTATTTTTGTTATTTTATTAGTAATGAATGAATTTACTTATAAATGAATAAGATAAACAACTAATAATTATATTGTGTTTGTCACCCTAATTTGTTTTAATTTATGTGATCTTTTAATTATAAAATTGGACCATCAAAACTTTAAAGGATTTTAAAAATAGTGTCAAGATCTATTGTAGTATTAAGTGCTTTACGGTGTAGAAAGTTTTTTTTTTCTTTTTTTTTTGGAAACGTTAAATTATATAAAATAATTTAAGTAAAAATTAATTTATTTTCTCATGTCGTTTTATTATCTATAGATATTTGGATGTAGATTTTTATTTGGTAGTAGTTGTTTTTAACTTGATCTGATTACAACATAACTTGTCTTTAGTTTGCGAAAATCCATTTAAAATCTAAAAAACTTAGGCTTTTATTGGAGGTAGATATTATTTTAGAAGTTATCAAATTTTCCTTAACCTAATTCCTTATAATTTACAATCCACATTCCACTTATTCGTATCATGACTAATGAGTCCTTTGTTTCAATTTAAATTTTTTATTTCAGTTTCTAACATTCACACTAGTGACTAAAAAACAATCTATATTATTTACAATGAAAGATGAAAGTAGACATAATTTTATCGAATGAATTTGTAAATCTTAATTATTTACTTCACAATTGATTTTGGGCTTTTTTATTTTACGTGGAAAATTACTTTCTCATGCGACCTACATGTTTCAATATAGAATAAATCCGTGATTAAGATAAAGTTACTTTAGGTAAGGTAGGATGTGAAGAGTGGTAAAAAGAGAGTTGCAATAAACATTGCACAAGGCACTACTAACCCAAGACCTTCTCAACGGGTTATGTCTGGTCTCAGGCCCAACATCGATCACAAGAATCGTATTTGCTGTTCTTAGCGTTTGTTTTCTTTCTCCAAAACGTTCAATAAAATATAACCGGTGATTCTTGTGTACACCACGATTTTAGATTTACACCGATTTACCTTGGCTTGTAGTTTCTTTTAGTCTTTTTCACAAACACCTTTCGTTCAGCGCTGAAGAAGAAAGAAATTTGGGGCATGATATTTTGACGCTCTGTCTAATTTCGATAGACTTAAGTGTGCATTGCTTAGTTGTAAGTCATGATCAGAATCAGAGTCAGGTCTAAATTATCCCTTCTCCCTGTTGTGCTATTACGCATCAACCGTAACTCACTCGCTGTTCATCATTGTCATATAGTAGAACAGCCCCTTATGAGGGATACTTTCAATTTCTTTAACCCTTTTAACTCTCAAACATATTTACAACCACCAAATTTTGGTTTTGGTTTATCAGTCAGGCCCTTTGCTACTTCGTCTTCAACCAGGAGCCTCGGGGAGTCAACTGATGCCACTGCACATGAGGCCTTGAGTGATGACGATAATGGGGATGAGGATTATGATGATGATGGTCATGACAAAAATAAAGATAAGAATGGTACCGATTGTGGTAAGTTACATTTAAGGGATGATGATCTTGCCCAGGATGTTAAAACCATTTTGGATATAATGCATGAAGTGGGTTCTGGACCATCTGAAATTAAGAAGAAGCTTGAGCATTGCAGTGTTGTGCTATCACAAGAGCTGGTTGTGGAGGTCCTTTCAAAAACTAGAAATGATTGGGAAGCGGCTTTCACATTTTTCTTGTGGGCTAGCAAGCAGCCCGGGTATTCTCATTCGGTTCGGGAGTATCATTCTATGATCTCCATCCTTGGCAAAATGAGGAAGTTTGATACTGCTTGGACCTTAATTGAGGAAATGAGAGGAGGTAGAACAGGTCCATCTCTTGTCACTCCACAGACACTGTTGATCATGATTAGGAGATACTGTGCTATACATGATGTTGCAAGGGCTATAAATACTTTCTATGCTTATAAACGGTTTAACTTTCAAGTTGGGCTAGAGGAGTTTCAAAGCCTTCTTTCTGCCCTTTGTCGGTATAAGAATGTGTCAGATGCTGAGAACTTACTGTTTTGCAACAAAAATGTATTCCCATTTGACACCAAAAGCTTTAACATAATTCTGAATGGATGGTGCAATTTGATTGTTAGCACTAGTCATGCGGAAAGAATATGGAAGGAGATGACCAAAAGAGGAATCAAACATGATGTTGTCTCTTATGGAAGTATCATATCTTGCTATTCAAAATCTTCTACACTTTACAAGGTGTTCAGGATGTTTGACGAGATGATGAGAAGGAAGATCGTTCCCGATAGGAAGGTTTATAATGCGGTCATTTACGCACTAGCAAAGGGTAGGCTTGTGAAAGAAGCTGCCAATCTCATCGGGCAAATGGAAGACAACAATGTTACACCGGATGTTGTTACTTACAACTCCCTGATCAAGCCTCTTTGCAAAGCCCACAGAGTTGATGAAGCTAAACAACTTTTTGATGAGATGTTGAAGCGGCGCCTATCCCCAACGATTCAAACTTTTCATGCTTTCTTCCGTATGTTAAGGACCAAGGAAGAAGTATTTGAGCTCTTGGACAAAATGAGAGAGCTGGGATGCTACCCAACCACTGAGACTTATATAATGTTGATAAGAAAGTTTTGCCGCTGGCGTCAGTTTGATGATGTATTTAAGATATGGGATGCAATGAGGGAAGATGGAATCGGTCATGATCGTAGTTCATATATAGTACTGATTCATGGGCTGTTTCTAAATGGAAAGCTAGAGGAAGCTTACAGATATTATGCAGAGATGCAAGAGAAAGGCTTCCTTCCTGAACCAAAGACGGAAGAAATGCTTCAGGCATGGGTTTCTGGGGCACAGACAATAGAGGACCAATTGACAGATTTAGAGCCTAGTCAACTGGAAAATGGCACTCTTAAAAAGAAAGTGAAGGACGTACCCAGTAAATTTGATAAGGAAAAAACTTTTCTTCGCCAACCTGAGACCAGAAGGGTAACAAGAGAACGGGGTTTTTCTTTCTGGGAGTAAGACGAGGTCCAGTGACACTTCAATACTATATCTTTGAAGATGACACTTGTTGGTCTGCATACTTCAAATTCAATTGGATATACCCCAAACAGGTGGATGGGATGCTGGTGAATAGCCAGACTACAATTTCCTCATCATATAAGCAATAGCTAAGGTTAGTAAATTCATAAACAATCAAAGTTTGTTTATTGTTATAGGATTGAAGACTTTTCAATTAAAATTTATAGTGATCTAAATTTAATTGCTTCTTTACTAGTGGTTAAACTTGGTGAATGTTGTAAATTTAGAGCTGAACTCAGGTGCTTGTATGTATTTTCACGAGTTTGGTATAAATTCCACATGTGCGGCTAGAAACTCAACCCACCGTTGTGATAGGTTTGATTGCAGATAAAAATGTGTGATAGTTGCTTGTTAGGTCATTTTATTTTAGAATCTACTTTAGAAGTAAAATTAACACACATGAAGTTAACATACATCGATAGAAGAAATTGATTACCTATGAAGTTCCACGAAAATCTATAACTACTGACCTTGAGTTGGACTTCCAGTTGTTTTTTTATGCTGCAGGGTTTAACGGAGCATCTTTGGTACATAAGATCTAGTATGGCCTCTTGTTCTCAGTAGTTAGCCCTTTTTGTCTTTGGGTTGTTTGAGTCCCTGCAAACATGTTATTTGCCCAAGAACCATCATTCTACTAGCATCGAGACTGGAGATTATGTGATCCTGGGACTGAAGCGACTCAGGTTTCTTTGTTTGAACTTAAGCCCCTAACCAGGTCTTAAATCATGGTTGTCAATCAGGTTAACTGGGTAGCTGATTATATAATACACCATGGAGCCATGGAGATGAGGACCATTTTGATGCCCTTTCTGTTTATCAAGTTTTTATTTTAGACCCTGTAAAATAAGAGTAAATTAGTAATGCTATTGCTATCTAACCAACGTTGTATGTCAAATTTTCATGATGACAATTTGAATCTAAACATTTTTCTATTAAACTTCTTGATGGAGCAATTCTGCTGTTGAATGATTTGACTTGCAGGTATTTCATGAAATACGCAATGCTGCCAGATACATGGTCAATCAATCATGTAATACACCGATAGAGCAGAAGAGGGAGTTCAGCAAAGAGAGTTAGTATTAGTAAAGGTGCATGAGTGAGCTTACAGTTTGAAATCCGTAATTTTTGTTGTTATATTGATTATTATCAAAGTGGTTTCTGAAACAATGTGGATTATGCTGCATCTAGTCCGGTGGTTCTTGCACTTGCTAGATCACGCAAGTTTAAGTATCAAATTTTGATTCTGCTTTATTTATGGTTTGTTCAAATGTATTGAGGCACTGACTTCTAGACCTTTGTACTGTCATGCTTAGCACAAAAAACAAAATGGAAACAATTTCAAAGTTTATGTTAACTATCCAAAAAAAAAAAGGAAGAAAGTTATGCTTAGCACAAAAAACAAAATTGAAACAATTCTAACGCAACGCATATGTTAACCATCCATTTTTTTCCAAAACAAAAATATAAGTAAAAACCAATGGATTGATTACATAAGCTTTGGAATCGTAACAACTTGTTTCCATTTTGTTTCCTGTCCCGCAAGCAAAGTTTCAATTTTGTTTTATTTTGTGCCGCTAGCTTATATTTGTTGCTTTTCTATCTTTTGTACCACAATGTATTGATGCACTTTCGTGTATAACATTTTCCTATAAAAGAAGCACACCATTGAGTATAAAACATACACGAAAAAAAAAATATTCTCATTTGCATACAAAATCACAGTTGGCCTTTATAAATGATTTGAAGTTTTATTTTTCCAAGTATATTATTAGTCTTTTAAGTTATCAAAAGAAATTATATATAGGAATTATGTGATCTTTTTAAAGAGTACAACAATTTGGTGTGAAATGGGTGTTTAAGATAAAGTTGAAAGAAAACGATAAAGTTGAAAAGTACAAGATATAATTGATAGGATTACAAGTAACAATATAAGATATACAAAAGTTTTTTTCCAATAATAAGACATAACATAATAAGATTAATGGTTGCTTAAATATCTAGAAATACTTAGTCTATTTACCAATAAAAAATCAACATTTTTGCATGGACACATAAAGAAGTAGGTTTTTATTAAACAACCATTATGTTATGTCAAGATTAAAAGTGATCATATAATACATAAATTTAAAAAAATTCTTTCCAAATTAAAACAAGCTCCATAGGTATAATATAGTCGTATTGAATCTTATTTCTAAAAGTTTGATTCACTAAGTGTTGAGTTATGCTAATATTGAAAGTAAACATAAAAAGTATAAATTAAAGAAAATTTTTTATAGATTGAAACAAGTTCTTCAGTACGTTATATAGTCATATTGAATCTTATTTCCTTAAAACTATATTTACAAAGTCTACATATTTTTTTGTGAAATTTGGAAATAAAGGTAAATTAGTTATGATTTGTTTAAATGTTGATTATCTTATTTTTATTGAAAATTAATTACAATTTCATGTTTGAGAACATTAAAAAATATATAATTGATGAGTTTGAGATGAGTGATCTTGGTTTGATACATTACTTTCTAGGTATAGAAATAGTTTAATAAGCTAATGGAATTTTTATTTGTAAAAAAAATATGTGAGAGATGTTTTAAATAAATTTCAAATAAAAAATTGTAAATCAACAAACATTTTAGTGGAGCATGACCTAAATATTCATAAAGATCTTAAATGAAAGAAAGTTGACAACATACTTTATAAGCAAATTGTTGGTAGTATGATATATTTAACTACAACATGCCCAAACATATTGTTTTCTATTAATATGATTAATAGATATATGAAAAATCTGACAAAAATGCATTTGTTATTTGCAAATAAAATTCTTTACAATTTGCAAAGAATTAAAGATTTTTACTTGTTTTATAAAATGGATGAAAAGTCAAATTTATTAAAATTTACCAAGAGTGATTATGCAAGTGATCAAGATGATAAAATAAATTTTTTTATTACATGTTTATATTAGAAAAAAATATTTTTTTTCATGTTCATCTAAACAGTATTTTAACATTTATAAATAAATATTTATTTTTTATAATCAAAATTTATGATAAATTAACATTTTTAAATTAAAAATTGTTATAATTAAGAATTATATTAGATAAATATTTTGAATGAATAGATTATATTTGAAATTTATACTTAATAATTTAAGATATTATATTAGGTTATATCAAATTAAAATAAATAAACAGTTAAAAGACTACATTATATTAATATTTTTAAAGTTTCTTGAGGTTAAAAAAACTTCCTATCATTCCTATAATATAACCCCCTAAAGTTTCATTTTTGTTCGTAGCGTAAGTCAAATTAATATTAGAATATTTTAAAAAAGAGAGCAAATTTTAAGAATTCATTAACTAAAGTTTAAATCAATTACGAAAAATTAAACTTTAAGATTTATGTGTAAAAGAAAGTAAATTAAAAAAAAACTTTTTGGTGTTTATTTAAAAAAAAGGGTAAAATTTAAGGTTTTTAAAGTCTAAAAGGTGGATAAGATCACATGATTATGTGCTTATAACAACCATTCTTTTTCTTCCTCTTTGTCGTGTAATTGAGCTTTAAACTTGCTTAGAAAGAAAGCAAGAGCATAGAACAAAAAATAAATTTTAATTTTTAAACAAAAATCCCAAAACTTATTTTTTATTTTATTTTTCTTTTCCCAACACATCATTAGCATTATTATAGTGGTAAAGTCAGATTAGAATATATGTTAACTTTAGATTAATGAATACTATCAAATTAACAATAATTGCATTCTTATCTTTTTCACTTTATTGACTTTCATGTAATCAAATTGAGGCCATGCTTTTCATGTGGCTAAGTGTTTATAATTGGTTACAGCGTAGATCTTTTTAGATGAGACTTGTTTACGAATTTTAGAAGAAAAAATATAAAAAAATAGAAATTATTTTTTATGAATTAATTTGCATAATATTTTTACATATATTTCAAATTACTTATTTTTTATTTATATATTATTAAAGATTTATTTATATATTTATTTTTAAAATAAGTAAATATCTTACTAAATTAATTTATAATAAATATATTTTTAATAAAATAATATTATTTTTATTTAAAAAATAATTATTATTTTATAAAACTCATAAACATATAATTGATTTAAGTAATTTATATCACGGTGGATTAAATAAAAATAAGTTTAATTTAATTTATATCATATTTTTTTTAGTATAATTTAATCTATTTTTAAGATTTCGGTGGATTAGATAAAAATAAGGTTAATTTAATTTATGTTATATTTTTTTAGTATAATTTAATCTATTTTTAAGATTTTTTATTGATTGATCGATTAAATCTATTTTAAAATTTATACACTTAAATAACAATAATAGAATTTTAATTAAATTATGATAAAATAAAAAAAATCATCAACTGAATTTTTTAATTGAATTGATAAAAAAATTTAAGATATTTTTTTAATATAAATATTTTTTTATAAAATATATAACATTTTTTTTATTTTATATTAGTTATATAAACTTTAAATAATGATTATTTTATTATATTTTTTAAGACTAGTTATTTTTTCCTTTCTTTTTTTATATTTGTTTATATTGACGATGATAATAATCCTCATTTTATAATGGGCATGTCCAAGGTGTGATAATTGTTACAGTTGTAATGCTTCTAATTTCAAAATTATGCAATTTACCTGAAAACTGATGATCCATTATCACCAGACATGCACAAAATTTTCAAGAAATCTTGTTTTATTATCACCAGACAAACTTGAACCTATCAATCAAGGCTTTATGCAAGCTGATATTTGCGAACATCATCATTTCTTGGGTCACTTTTACAATAATACCAACTTTAATTAACCTAAAAGCATTCATACCATAATTGATTTTAATAATACTAATATAATCATCATTAATAGGAAACACTTTTTCATTGACAGAACAATAATCAATTTT